ATATATATATATCCTGCTTTATATGTAAGACCAGGAAAGGGTAAATTCATCTGTTTGGTTATGTTGTAGTTTTAACCCCAGGGTTTCATTTGTTTCCATATATATATACTCTAATGTCTACAGAGGATGAAAAGATCAGAGACTCATTGGCTTAAAGTTGTTGGATATGGTTATTCTATTAAATTATCTATAAACTTGCTAGATAGCAGTTTTAAGGGTGGAATGAAGGAAAGCAGAATGAAAATATTTTCTGAAGTTAAGGTACAGAATGAGTTTTACACCGGCCCTTAAAAGGAGGTTTCTTCTAGTAATGGAAAGCCACAGTGTGGTAAGTTCAGGCCTGACTGTCATCCACCTGTTCCTTTTTTTCTCCTTTTGTTCCTTCCCACTTTTCTCTTTCTTTCACACTTCTGTGTCTTTTTCCTCCTGGGGACAGTTAGTGATGGTTGCTCTGCACTTCTGTCTCTTCTGGTGTGGCATGACCATTTGATTTCCATGACACCATGCATTGTGCCAGTGGGCATTTGATACAGAACAATAATTATCATTACTGTGGTTGTAAAGTGAACCTAGGTGTGACAGGATGCCAAGGATGTTTGGGAAGCCTTGTTGACCTGAACAGAGACTGAGGACTTAGTGTTAGGTTGGTGCTGCCCTATGTGCCCTGCATGAACTTTTCATGTCTAACGCCGGGTAGTATCTAGACTCGGGAAAGTGCTGGGTGAGACTGACGAGAGACATGGCCAGGTCATACTCAGATGTCCCAATATTTTCACCTAGGAGGTTGTCGCTCCCAATCATTTTGGTAAGGGCAGGTTTCTCGGATTGTGGCTGTGACTGTGGCAGCTCATGGGGCCTTGGAGGAGGCAGTCCCTTCCCTTTAGAGAAGATAACAGAAATATATCAGAAGATGTCCTGTGGTTTTGGTTTTACTGTCCTTTAACAGTTTTAGGGTCTATTGTAGTTCAAATATGTTTAAAGACAGTTTTTTGGTTTTGTTTTTTGAGGAAGAGTCTGGCTATATAGTTCAGGGTGGCCTTGAATTCACTGTGTAGCCCAGGCTGGCCTCAAACTCTTGGTGATCCTCCAGCCCAGCCTTCTGAGTGCCGGGATTACAGGCATGCTCCACCATACCTGGATAAAGGCAATTTTACAATGATGGATTTCAGTTTGTTATAGATTGTCATCAAAAGCATAATACTTCAAGGATCAGGAAGCAGATTTTCTTTTCTTTAATTCATATTTTAACTTCCTTGTTTCAGAAGGAATTGCAACTACAGGTTTGGCAAGTTGATGTGATTTAGGCAAATTTATGTTTTTGGTTCTCTTTAGTTTTGCTAAGTTTTTTTTTTGAGAATGGCTTTTAAAGCAGTGATTCTGACTGTTTCCGATGGGATCTAATGGATATCTAATGTATTTTTTTTCTTTTGTTTTTAAGACAGGATCTCCTGTGTAGTCTAGGCTGGCCTTGAGCTCACTATGTAGATGGAGTGGGCCTCAAGGCCTCGATCTTCCTCCCTCAGTGTCACAAGTGCTGGGATTACAGATGCGTGCCACCACACTCTGCTCTAATTCATTCTTTTTACTTTAATTTTACAACACATCGTGACCTGAAGGTTTTTTCTGTTTAAACTGTGGCTCGTTCTTGCCTTTAACTCAGACCTATTTCTGTACTATTGTGTGATTCCTGGCCTGAGCGTGTGGTATAAGGAGGATAAAGGAGATTTCTTTTTCAGAATAGCATATGTCTGTAGGGGACAGCAATATTGATTATGCCCAAAACATGTGGTAAGCAGTGCAGGCTGTGAAGAGCTAACCCCACAATTGGCTTGTTTTCAGAAATAAGTCTGGCCAAAGCCTATGTGCCAGGTTAGAGTAACACACCCAAATTCCATTCCCATTAACTAAAACCTTCCTAACTCGAAAGACAAAGTTCTAATTACAATCACATATTTTGTCTATTCTTTTCCTATTTTGAGAATGCGTTGTCCTGTCTTTTACAAGCCTTGCTTACATAGAAACCACGTGACTGTGCATCTTCTCACATAGTCCTGCCCTTGCACATAGCTCGCCTTTGCCCCAATTGATTACCAATGAAAATCAGTGGCTTGGATTGGCCAGGGCCTTTGTCAGTTGTACTAGCATTGGCCATCCTGGCACCTGCTTTCTGTTTCTCTTAGTTCTGTCTTTTAGTTGTTTTTTCCCCCTCAGATCTGCATCGTACACTGGGCAGGAGAGTGGACTACTGCAGAGGTTTCCAGTAACATTTTGGTCTTTAGCCTTGTGTTAGGGGCTGGGGCAATGCTTGTGTTTGAGGAAGGGTGTGACAGGAGGAAAAGGGTGAGAAAAAGGAGGGAAGCCCTATGGGGGGGTAGCTTTATTCTGACAGCTTCATGCAAATGTAACTTGTTTCCCCACTGAGAGTGGGCTAAGTGTCACTCTCTGGTCCTATTGACCACTAACATCTTAGAAAATGAAGGAGAGAGTATAATACAAGCAGTTTTGTTTGAGCACAGAGCCTCCTCATTTATTCAGCATTTCTAAGCTTACACAGAGTATAACATGTTATCAAATTGAGTGGCATTTTCTTTTGCAAATAAAAACTGGAATGATAATTTGTTACTTTAAGAGTAGAATCAAGAAGCAGGCCAGATTTTGGGTGTTTGCAGCAGCTCAGAACATTCTCTCCCTAGGGTCAGTCTAGACCAGAAACCAAATTAGCATCAAAGCTTGTTTATTTAGTGCTCAGGGAACTTAAGGACAACATAGGTAGAGGTTGAGCCTTAGGAGAACATGATGGATATTTAATTCCTTTAGCTTTGTGCATTTTTTCTTTATAAATGATTAGTACAACTGATCAAATCTTATTTATTTTCACTCTTTGGCTTCTAGAGTTTTGGGTGTGCTGAGGAACCCCTGTTTAGTCATATTCTCTTTTATCTTTTCACAAACACCTTATGTTTTCATTTTTAAAATTTCTGTTATATACAGTCTTGTGTATTACAAAGTAGGTACCTGTTCTGAACATATCTTCTAGAAAGACAACATACTTTGAGATAGCATAGTCCTTGTATCTGTTAGTCTTCCATTATTTGTAAAATCTTCTCCATAAATAGAAACCATATTTATGCTTGCTTTTTTTAAAGTGTGGAACACTATACAACCATATTACAGGGCTTATTTTATTAAAAATAGAATTAGCAATTTGAGTGGTTTCTTAGCTCGGGAATAGAAAATATAACCTGGAGCATAGACTCTTCAGGTGAGACTTTTTTGGAATATGCAATATAAGGAAATGAGTGAGATGAAAAGGAAAAAGAGTTCTGATCTTAACTAAATCTATCTGGTCATAACTTTTCAACAAAATATAACTGATTATTTTAGGTGACATCTTCAGTAAGGACATAAATATACTTGCATCTAAGAACAGTTAATTTCTCTCTCTTCTCCCGTCCTTCTCTCCCTCCCTTCCTCCTTCTCTCCCTCTGTCTGTCTGCTGGAGATCAAACCCAGGGCCTGGCGCATGCTAGGCAAGCACTTGCCACACCTCATCTTCTGTCAGAAGGGCCTGGGCAGAAAGCAGCTGCTCATCCCATGGCATCCAGGAAGCACAGAGAGAGCTGGGAAGTCCAGGGAGAGTGATATGCCCTTCCATGAAATGACCCCAGTGACCCACCTCCAACCTGGGCCCAGCTCCTATCGGGAAGTCAGCTATACTGCTCTCATGATCCTTTCATCTTTTAAAAGCCCCACCTCAGTGCTGGGGATTTAGTTCAGTGGCATCACACCTACCTCTCAAGGGCAAAGCCCTGAGTTTGATCTGTGGTAGTGGGTGGGTGGGGGTGGATCCCCACCTCTGGTCACGTGAGGCTTTTGGGGTACATTTCAGATCTAAACCACAACAAAAGTCTGGAAGTAGCACATGCTTATTAAAAGTCAAAATAGATAAACATATGAAGTAAACTACAAAAAATAGCCTCTTTCTGCCCATCTTTAAAATGTTGCTTGCTATTATCAATCTGATGTCATCTATTTATACACAAATGCAAATATATATACATACTTCTTTTATTAGTATGTGTTTGCCATACATATCGATGGTATTTATCATAGGGAATTTGTACCTTAATTCTTTTTTCCCCTCCCCCTCCCCTTCTTTCAACCCTTCTTCCCCCCTCCATTTAAAAAAGCATTGTTTGCACTTTTCCCTTTCTTTTTTTTCAAAACTTATTTCCATCCTCTCCTGCCTCCTCCCTTGTTCCCCTTCCCATTTGGACAAGTTTTCCCTACTTTCCAACATTTGTCCTCTATTTATTACCCATACATTTTTAACAGAAAATCAACCCAGTCTACATGGTGTTCTATTTTACAGTTTTTTTTTCACTTCAAATACGTCATGTATATCTTTCTATGCATATATTATCACTTAACTTTGTTAATGATATCTTATTCTGCAGATTATCCACATTTTAAGTTAGTAAGATCATTCTACCTTTTTATGATTTCTAAGTCTTTCATGCTTAGGCAAACATTTAAAATTAACATTTTAAAAAATTGAAAATATTTTCTTTAAGCTTTTCAAAAGAGGTGTGTGTCTATCTTTCCTTCTTTCTTTCTTTCATTTTGGTATTGGGGATCGAACTCAG